CGGCGCGGGGGCGGGCGGAGGGCGGCGCCGCTGCAGTGCGGGACCCGCTCGCCCGCCGTCCCCGCGCCCGCGCGTCCCCGCGCAGCCGCCTCCGGCCTCCGGCGCCGCGCATCCAGGTACGCGGGGCTGGGGAGGGGGCTGTTCCGGAAATCCCCGCCGGCCGCGAGGCCCCAGGAAGTTTGGCCTTCGGGGAGCCCCCGCCCCCTTGGCCGGTCCGGGGTCGGAAGCCGTGGTCGGGGGGCTGGGGGGCTGGGGGGCTGGGGGGCCGGGGTCGCCGGGCTGCGTGCGCGGCGCTGGCGGGCTGGCCGGGTTCCGGGCCGTCACTGTGACCTGGCCGAGCGCGGCCCGAACGCGCGGCCCTGCCATTGTTCGCCGGGTTCATCTTCCCAGGCGGCCCGTCCGCGGCGCTTCGTTTGTTTTCGTTTCTTTTCCTGTGGAGCCTGTAAGAGCTCCCCCCGTCCCCCAGCCATCTCCCCGGGAGCTCGCGGAGGGCGCTCCAGGCACACACTGTCCTCCAAAGGGGGAGGGACGGACGCAAGTGAGACCCCATAACCGCCTGGGCTGCACACGCAGGGCCCCGCTTCTCCGTCGTCAGGTTTCTCAGCCGCGCCCGGAACCCGCCGGATCCCCCTCCATCCCCGCGAGCATCTGTTTAGAGTTGAGCTTTGCCCCCCAGGGTGAGAGGCCTTTGACAGCAGCAGAATAAAACGCCTGGCGTGTCACCAGGTCACGTCGGTCACCAGATAAACCTTACGGTGCGTGGAAGACGCGTGTTCACAGGCCGCGAGAGTCCTGCCCCTCCGAGGCCGGCAGGACTCGCGTTTTCCTCCGCAGGAAGCGGGCAGCGGGTCGCCATGGCCTCGCCATCGGCTCAGCAGCTGGAGGAGGACGACGGCCTGAGGGGCTGCGAGCTCTATGTGCAGAAGCACGGCGCCCAGCAGGTGCTCAAGGACTGCATCGTGCAGCTCTGCATCTCCAAGCCCGAGCGCCCCATGAGGTTCCTCCGGGAGCACTTCGAGAAGCTGGAGAAGGTTAGTGGCTCCGGCACCCGGTCCACCCCCCGCCCACCCCCCAGCCGGTGCAGGGGTGTGTGTGCGGCGCCGAAGCCCCGTCGGGCCTCCCCTCCGCTGCCTGCGTGCTCAGGAGGGGGCGGGGCGCCCGCGTGACGGCCTCCTGCGGCTCTTTGCGGGGAGGTGGGCAGGGAGGCCACGGTGGCTTCATGCCCGCCACAGAAATCCTCTCTTTTTCTAGTGGCTCAGGGTCTCAGGAGGCCTCCTGGAAGGCGGTGCGGACGTTTGGGAACTGCTGGCTGTGACTATAGCTTGTGGGGTCGCTGGCGGTTCTCAACTCCGGGGACTGGTTAGAGATGCCATTGGCACTGGGGTAAAAGGAAACAGCCCTGATAGAGAGTGTGGCGGGCCGTTGGAGGTCAGATTCCCTCGCTGGCCTGCCCCTCAGACATGTGGGGGAGAGCACGTGCCACACCCGCCCCCTCTCTCCTGAAGAGGGAATCGCCCAGCTCACTCCTGCGTGGATGACAGCTCCCACCCCGTTCCTGGTTCGTCCTGGGGGCTCGGGGCTAGGAAGCAGCCGGCTGGGGCAGGAGCCGCTTGTGGTCCCGTCCAGCTTTCCCTCCCCGCCTCACGCCTCCTGCCTTCCTCCCTGGCCACCCAGATCTCTCTCTGGGGTGACCTCAGGTTCCTCCTCGTGGTCTTTGTATCACGACCTACCTGTCCCTGGGGACTGACCGGGGCCCCAGCTGGGGCCCAGGTCTGTTTTAAGCACCTCTGTGTCCCCGAGCTCAGCGGCGTTTTACTTCTGATGGGCACTCCTGTGGACAGAGGTAGCCTTAACGCTAAGGAATGGATTTATTTCTTCCCTTTAGAACAGTCTGTTAAAACACATTTGAAAGAAATACATGCCTTTTAAAGAAACACTGAAAAGTTCAAAAGTGGGAAGAAGAATTAGAAATCACCTGGAGGCCTTTCCACCTGTTCCGTGCATTTTGCATCGTGCAAATCCCGTGCGCTTCCAGCCGTGCACTGTGGTTTTGAAACATAGTCGGAATCATGGTACGGATGCAATTTTATACTTTATGTTGTTCATTTGTTATACATTCTTCATGGTCCTCAGTGTAAGTGATTGTGTAATGTGTTGAGAAGATCCAGAAAAGTTTTTTCAATGTTTTCCTCATGATTAGACAGTTGAGTTGTTTCCAGTGTTTTAATATTAAAAATAACACCACCCATTTTTTAATTGGGTTGTTGGTTTTTTGGATATTGAGCTCCATGAGCTATTTGTATGTTTTGGAGATTAATCCTTTGTCTGTTGTTTCATTTGCAAATACTTTCTCCCATTCTGAGGGTTGTCTTTTTTTATCTTGTTTATGGTTTCTTTCGCTGCGCAAAAGATTTTAAGTTTACTTAGGTCCCATTTGTTTATTTATTTATTTTTAAAATTTTCATTACTCTAGCAGGGGGGTCAGAAAAGATCTTGCTGTGGTTATATGTCAAAGAGTGTTTTTCTCTGAGTTTTATAGTGTCTGGTCTTACATTTAGGTCTTTAATCTGTTTTGAGTTTATTTTTGTGTATGGTGTTAGGGAGTGTTCTAATTTCATTCTTTTACATGTAGCTGTCCAGTTTTCCCAGCACCATTTATTGAAGAGGCTGTCTTCTCCATTGTATGTTCTTGCCTCCTTTGTCGTAAATTAGGTGACCATATGTGAGTGGGTTTATCTTTGGGCTTTCTATCCTGTACCACTGATCTATATTTCTGTTTTTGTGCCAGTACCATACTGTCTTGATTACTGTAGCTTTGTAGTATAGTTTGAAGTCAGGGAGCCTGATTACTGCAGCTCCATTTTTCTTTCTCAAGATTGCTTTGGCTATTTGGGATCTTTTGTGTTTCCATACAATTTTTTGTCCTAATTCTGTGAAGAATGCCATTGGTAGTTTAACAGGGATTGCATTGAATCTGTAGATTGCTTTAGGTAGTATAGTGATTTTTCACAATATTGATTCTTCCAATCCAAGAACGTGGTATATGTCTCCATCTGTTTAAATAGACATTTCACCAAAGAAGACATACAGATGGCCAAGAGACACATGAAAAGATGCTCAACATCACTAACTATTAGAGAAATGGAAATCAAAACTGCAATGAGGTATCACCTCACACTGGTCAGAATGGCCATCATCAAAAAATCTAGAAACAATAAATGCTGGAGAGGGTGTGGTGAAAAGGGAACCCTCCTGCACTGTTGGTGGGAATGTAAATTGATACAGCCACTATGGAGAACAGTATGGAGGTTCCTTAAAAAACTAAAAATAGAAGTACCATATGCCCCAGCAATCCCACTACTGGGCATATACCCTGAGAAAACCATAATTCAAAAAGAGACATGCACCCCAATGTTCATTGCAGCACTATTTACAATAGCCAGGACAGGGAAGCAACCTAAATGCCCACTGACAGATGAATGGGTAAAGTAGATGGGGCACATATATACAATGGAATATTACTCAGCCATAAAAAGAAGCGAAATTGAGTTATTTGTAGTGAGGTGGGTGGACCTAGAGTCTGTCATACAGAGTGAAGTAAGTCAGAAAGAGAAAAACAAATACCGTATGCTAACACATATACATGGAATCTAAATAATATGGTACTGATGAACCTGGTGGCAGGGCAGGAATAAAGACGCAGACATAGAGAATGGGCTTGAGGATGCAGGGTGGGGGGAAGGGGAAGCTGGGGCAAAGTGATAGTAGTACTGACATACGTACACGACCAAATGTAAAATAGGTAGTGGGAAGCAGCCACATAGCACAGGGAGATCAGCTGGTGCTCTGTGACCGCCTAGAGGGGTGGGATAGGGAGGGTGGGAGGGAGACGCAAGAGGGAGGGGATATGGGGATATGTGTATGCATATGGCTGATTCACTTTGTTGTACAACAGAAACTAACACAGCTTTGTGAAGCAATTATACTCCAATAAAGATGTATTTAAAAAAAAATGCCACAGGGACATATTTGTACATAGATTTTTTTTTTTTTTTCCTGTATGTAGTAGTGTTTAGTACAGCTTTTCAGAGATGGAATTACTGAAATTCCAGGTGGAATTACCAGGTCACAGAAGTCTTGTTGGTGTTGTCAAGGAGCTCTCCAAACGCAGCATTGATTCAAGCCCCACCAGACAGTGTGCTTGTAGCCACCCCCCCGAGTCAGCTTTGGCTGTTTTAATTTAAAAGCCTGTTTTTCAGGGACTCCCCTGGCGGTCCAGTGGTTAAGACTCCACCCTTCCAACGCAGAGGGCGTGGGTTCGATCCCTGGTTGGGGAACTAAGATCTCACGTGCTACGCAGCCAATAAATAAATAAATAAATGAACCTTAAAAAAATAAAAAAAAGCCCTGTTTTTTAGTTGATAGGTGAACATGGCAACGTGGCTTTAATCTTTGGTTACTTTCGAGGTCGCCACATGTGGGAGGAGTCCAGTCGCTGGCCTGTGCACGGAGGAGGACAGGGGACAGGAGCGGGGGGTGCTTGTTTCCTGCACGTTTGAAGAGGGAGGGTCAGGCGGGTGACAGTACATCCTCATTTAACTCTACTTGTCCACAGATGACCCCCGCCAGGTGACATGTCTCACAGGACGGAACTTCCCCGCTGGACCAAGGCAGGGAGCCCATTAAGAGGCCAGAGGCAGGGTCCAGGCTAGACCTGAGCTGAGGCTGCAGGGTGAAGCTAGCGCAGAGGGTCTCAGCGGGGGACCTCTTGTCCCCAGGGGACATTTCAGTGGCCAAGATGCTTTTGGCTATTAGACTTGGCAGGGGTGAGGGTGCTCCTGCCCCCTGGGGGTGGAGTGAGAGGGTGAGGTGGGCCGTTTTCTTTGGGGGGCCTTTCCGGTCTTGCTGGTGGGTTGGGGGTGGCGTGAGGAGAGAGGCAGGGGCCGTGACTCCTCGGGTTTGGTCCGAGGCCTGAGTGAAGTCCTGAGCCAAGAAGGGGCCAGTGGGAAGAGACGGAGGCAGGGTTGGACAGGGAAAAATTAAGAGTAAGGCTTTGGATGTGCTTAAGTTGTCAAAGAGGCTATGAGTTTGGAGCTTGGGGGAGAGGCTGGGGCGAGCACAGAGGTTTAGGAAGATTCATTGATCATTCTTGCCTGGAGAGGCAATTTACTACCTGCCTTTGACAGGTGAGGACCGAGGTCTGGAAGAGGTAGGGTGACTTGGAAGGCCTAGGTTCCAGGCTTCGGGGCTGATTTGGTGGATTCTCTGAAATCGTGTGCAAGCTTTTGTAGGTGGGTGCATTTTACTGGGGAGAACGTCCCCAGTGTTTGCAGTGGATGTTCAAATGGACCTGGGATCCCCAAATGTAAAGTGCCTTAAGGTGTCCTGAAACCCCACGGGGGGTCTCATTTCCTGCTGCGTCTGCTGAGCACGGTGACCAGGGAGCTGACTTCAGCCTGGGAGCAGGAAAGCCTCTGGCTTTGGGGCCGGGGTGTGCTGGGGCCTGGGCCCCTCTCTCTGCAGGAGGCTGGCCAGGCCGGAAGCCTGGGGAGGAGCAGTTTTCTCCACTTGTGTGGAGAGCAGGAAGCGTGTGTGTGTGAGGCCTTGATAAGCACAGAGGCTGCAGCTGCCGGCACAGGTTGGTGGGGATGGCCCAGCTCTCGGGGTGCTGCCTGGGCCGGGGTGTGGCACCCAGTGCCCAGGCCTCCGTGAGTGAGCCAGTGAGGAGGTGGCCTTATTCCAGGGTGGAGGCTTGAGGGGGGGAGACAGTCCATACCCGCTGGCCAAACACAGCCTTGGAGCTTCTCCAGGATTCAGTCTTGTGGCGGATCGTGTGATGATAAAAGTCATCAATCCCTTTAACAGTGGATTTTAAATTGTGCAGGAAAGATTACTTTATACAAATGCACCCGTGACCCTGCACCTATGTACCCGCCCTACATTTTTCCAAGGGCTTTTCTTGCCCCGCAGGACACGCTTACATATGGATGTGGATAATTGTATATATGTGCATTTTTTGTTTGCTTTTTTC